CTTTCCCGGAAAGTAGATTATTTCCCATTTTCTGTGATGCAAATTTCCCGTTTTCTATGATAATCTACTTCAGAAAATTAGGTAAAATTTCTCAAAAAGTCGATAATCTACTTCCCTGAAAAGTCGATAATCTACTTTCCCGAAAAGTAGATAATCTACTTTTCAGGAAAGTAGATAACCAACTTTCCCGGAAAGTAGATTATTTCCCACTTTCTGTGATACAAATTTCCCGTTTTCTATGATAATCTACTTCAGAAAATTAGGTAAAATTTCTCAAAAAGTCGATAATCTACTTCCCTGAAAAGTCGATAATCTACTTTCCCGAAAAGTAGATAATCTACTTTTTGGGAAAGTAGATAACCAACTTTCCCGGAAAGTAGATTATTTCCCATTTTCTATGATACAAATTTCCCGTTTTCTATGTTAATCTACTTCTGAAAATTAGGTAAAATTTCTCAAAAAGTCGATAATCTACTTCCCCAAAAAGTCGATAATCTACTTTCCCGAAAAGTAGATAATCTACTTTTTGGGAAAGTAGATAACCAACTTTCCCAGAAAGTAGATTATTTCCCATTTTCTATGATACAAATTTCCCGTTTTCTATGATCAGTAGATAACCAACTTTCCCAGAAAGTAGATATTTCCCATTTTCTGTGATACAAATTTCCCGTTTTCTATGATTATCTACTTCTGTAAATTAGGTAAAATTTTCAAAAAGTCGATAATCTACTTCTCTGAAAAGTCGATAATCTACTTTCCGAAAAAGTAGATAATCTACTTTTTGGGAAAGTAGATAACCAACTTTCCCAGAAAGTAGATATTTCCCATTTTCTGTGATACATATTTCCCGTTTTCTATGATAATCTACTTCTGAAAATTAGGTAAAATTTCTCAAAAAGTCGATAATCTACTTCCCTGAAAAGTCGATAATCTACTTTCCTGAAAAGTAGATAATCTACTTTTTGGGAAAGTAGATAACCAACTTTCCTGAAAGTAGATTATTTCCCATTTTCTATGATACAAATTTCCCATGATAAGTAGATAACCAACTTTCCCAGAAAGTAGATATTTCCCATTTTCTGTGATACATATTTCCCGTTTTCTATGATAATCTACTTCTGAAAATTAGGTAAAATTTCTCAAAAAGTCGATAATCTACTTTCCTGAAAAGTAGATAATCTACTTTTTGGGAAAGTAGATAACCAACTTTCCTGCAAAGTAGATTATTTCCCATTTTCTATGATACAAATTTCCCGTTTTCTATGATAAGTAGATAACCAACTTTCCCAGAAAGTAGATATTTCCCGTTTTCTGTGATACAAATTTCCCGTTTTCTTTGATAATATACTTTGGAAAATTCGGTAATATTTCTCAAAATATATTCCTACCATATGGTTGTGTGGTAGAACTTTTTCTTTCTCACTTAATCAGTTTACATTAAGGTTTAAATGAAAAGTCAGTTTTTGTTTATTTCTTTTCTTTAATTATTCTCTATCTACAAGACATGCAAATTCACTAGTTCAGTGAGAATAGAAATGACAGTTACCCAAAAGTACAATGTAATGTTTGAGGCAGTCACTTGATCCCATCTAGTTTCATTCAAAATAATTTAGACCAAAGTTTTCTAACAACTGTCAAATATTGTATGATCCATATTACATAAAAAAATATAAAAATACATCAAGTTGTATGCTTATAACAATAAAAAGCAACCACAGTATTTTATTTGGGACTGTCATTTGCCCTTCTTGCAATAAAGAATAGGTGAAGTCCCAATCTCTTTTGTGATTTTGTGCTGTACATCTGGACCGAGCATACATACACTTGGTGACCTGCATCTAAAACTTCACTTGTTGATCTACTTGTAGATCAATAAGAAAGTAACACTTAGGGAAATGCTACAAGAGTAAATGCAATGTTTCTGATCAGAATGTGAAATTCCTAGTCTGGAATAAAATTATGAGATGTACAACTTATATATATATAAATTCTGAAAACTAACAGTATACAACTTGTACAGCAATAATAACTAAACTATTATGAACAACATATTTATAAAAATAACCGATCCCTCTGATATTTGCATTAAAGTGACTTAGTAGTTATTTGATGAGCAGTTCAGTACAGTATAACAATTGAGTGCACAGTAAACAATTATTTTAAACTTCAAAGAATTTTAACCATCAATATTTTTAGGAGTTTTAAACAACTGAAGGCACACCTAAAGGACGTGATGAGTGCTCCTAAGGCTATGGGTTACTTCATAACATCTAGGAACGTGCATTGAGAGTGGCCTCTATCTCTTGTTCCTAAGTTATAGAAGAACGAATCCTTGACTAGACAATTTAGTAGCCAAATGAAGGTAACTGCGATCCATGGACTTTTACACATGAATAACAATACTGTTTCAATGGATCTGTGGGAATGTCATATGCAGTGTTGGTCGGTTAAAAATTTATCTGGGCTAGAAATGGAAATCTTGATCTATTGTCATTTGTACTGTAAACAACATGCATTTAGTCAAAATACAAGACTACATTCAAAAATTTTTTTTTTAACTTCATTTCGAAAAGTATCTGAAAATATGTTACACATTTGGAGCATCAAGTTCAATGCAGTGTTATCAGTACCAAAACCTTTACACTGCTTTCAGATGGCAGTGTGAAAAACAACACTTTCGTACCAACAACAATTGACAACTGTGTTCTAAGAGATAAGCTTCCATCTTAAGTTTTAATGTACACCAAATACTATTACTAAGAGACTAAAAAGTGGCAGTGTTCCATAGCAGTTCCCTATATCCTCAAGTATCAGTACTGGCAGTATTCTTTCATCTTTCATAATCTTCAAGCTGCTATCATATTACTCTTTTGATAGAGTAAAATTTTGCAGAGTGAAAGATAAGCTCAAGAAAGGCATCCCAGGAAGGAGCCCCTACCTCGCAGACAAGAGCGAGAATAGTAACTTCAAAATCCAACTTACGAGATAGTCTACAAAACCTCGGTTCGCTTGATGTCACAGTTGGAGGTACTGTACTGTAGCCTAACTATGTCATAACCACTTCTAGAGTGATTACACCACAACACACACACTTGCTTGTGACAGTGTGGCCAAGGTTAGAAAAGTTCGGCAAGTTTTCATTGGCATTACCAACTCTTACAAGAAGTCAAATAATCTCCTTAGTTTGGTGTACCAGATCACGTGAAGGTCAGCGTCTTCTTCGGCTGATCAGAGCGGCGTCTGGGGGACGCCGATGCATAACGGCGCGGGCGTGATGAACGCGGTGACCTCGAGAGGCCACCTGACAGGCTCTGAAAAATTTATTTGCATGTTAACATTCTGAATTTGAAATGTTACTAATTGACCATGATAACTATATATTTTTTCTTTACAAAACTACAAGAAAATTGGAAAAATTGTAATTTTACACATGCTGCATTGAAACTAGCAGTCTGAATGATCATGCAAAGTCACAAAACTTTAGCGCTTAGATTGTGTGCATTTTAAGGGAAAAAAGGAATACAAAAGTGTGTGCATTTATTACATTTAACTTAAGGGAATCTGAAAATACTTTCATGCTCGAGAAATACTGTTGGCATGAAAAAGTACTTTAAAACTTTTTAAATTCATGAAGAATGTTAAGAGAATCCAGCACAAAAATACGCAAGCCCTAAATTACTTCCAACTATAAAAGTAATTAGCAATGTAAATTAGTAGTTTACTTTTATTCAGTCAATCTCACAAAAACTGTAGTGTAGACTGACAGTAACAAATCTGTTAATGTTTGATACATTAATCTAAGGAAGATATATTTAAAGTCTTACAACTGAAGAACTGATAACATGTAATGAATAATGTTGTTTGTAGGCATGGTATAGTATATATTTTCCAAACATTGTTCCTTTTCATTACTCCCCTCCCCCCACCAAGGCTGCAATTTCACTACCACATAAGGAAGCCAGGAAGTCACAAGGGATGGCTTTAATGCATATCACTTAACTTTCAAAACACAAAAGTTATCAAGTGTTTCTAATTGGAGAACTTTACCTTATAAAGTACACCAAACCCTTATGAGAAGGGTGCAAGGAATATGGTAGAGAGAGAACCAGTACTGTGTCAAAACGCGGTCACACTAGCATGTTCCAGTGACAAAAATCGTTGAAACTATTTCATCAACAGGAATTAAATTGCCAATTGCATTGACCCAGTGATAACATGCAAAAGATCCATTATACAAGCTTGCCGACTGTTTCAGCAACTAAAACAAGAAATGGCATCCACGTATGTGACTCCAGTGGCTATCATTGCCTTAATAACATGCGCAGTTACGTTACAGAAGGTTAAACACAAGAAAAAATGTGTGGGGGGTACGTTCCTGGCTCGCAAGAAAAGACAACAAGTGTTTACAATAATCTAGTCTAAGAAGTTAGTCTGAAAGACCCCCAACCATTCTATGACTTTCACCATATAATCAAGGCCAAGTTCCAGGAATTAATCGCCTAGTGATGCCACTCATAGCCAAGAATCCATATTTACTTGGAGACTGTAGAGTTGAAGATCAGATTCCCACATCACCGTCCCGTTGTAATTTCTATTTTAGCAATACTACAGTACCGATATTTTCATAATTTTAGCTTTTACAGTATTTCATACCATTTAATACATAAAAGAATGTTCAAACTAAGAAAATTTCAGGCATATATAAGGAACATTTATGTTAGGATACAGTATACAGTATTCTGAAATAATACTTAAGAATGTCAAAGATCAATACGGGCAACAGAGAATAAACAACTTTTGGAGTAAGAACCATTGATTGTTCCCAACGTTAACTGTTGCCACGGCAACTGGTTGTTATCTGTTCTGGCAGATAAAGTTAGTGGAATCTTTGATTTCCTGTCAATATTTGGCATGTGTGACTACACCTTAAGAGGTGAGACTAATTAGAGATTGGTAGTTTACAACTATCCCTATTGACTATCTCTATCTCTATTGACCTGATGCCAGGCCTACATTGCTGACATCAAAGGATGATATGTAAATGTCTTCTTAGTAGGTAAGTGATCACAGTCTGTCCATCTCGTTCTGGTTCTCCCTCTCATTCCTTCAACAAATACTGTATCTTCTTTTTATTCATTTTTCAAACTCCTGTAAATGCTTTTGAATCTTCTCCACTATTCACATTGTTGAACAATGTTTACTTGTGCATTATGTATCCATAGGAGAGTTGGAAAAATCATTCCTTCATGCGTTAAGACTAACTAAAGGGGCTACACATGTGAAAAATTCTTGGATTGTCTCATCCTTTTCAGAGTGTATGAAGGTGCAGTCTTGTCCTTAACCTCACATTTGCATTTATATTTATTTTTTCCATGGCTATTTTAATTTCATTACCGTACTCCATTTGTTGACACATTCAAAACACCCAAAATTTTTCATTGTCTCCATTCAAACTAATATAAAATTTGCCTTTCTTGTCAACTTACTTTGTATTTTAGTTTTCTTTACATTTGCTGTTGAAATTATTGTACTTTCTTGCACTCAATCACTAACATTTATACGTCAGTACTGAACTCTTAAAATATACCTTTTCGAGTCCAGTAATACAATTTACTTCTTGGTTGCTTTTAAATTCTTAAGCACATTTCACAACTCATTAATTTTGCTGTTATCAAGACCATTTACTGAATTTAAATGAAAAATTTGCTATTCCTAATATATTACCATTTATCTCTAGTAGCTAGTTCCATTGTTAACCACAACTTTGTTTTTTCTTTTAACTACTATGAAGTTGGAGAACAATACTGTACTGTAGTTATAATATATCCATCTGATACAGGTACTGATTATACTGACAAATTTAATGGGCATGTTTAAATTTTATTTGAGTTTTAATGCAGTGTTTACTTTTGAACTTGTATTTTTGAGCTGGACCTCTTGTGCATACAAAACCCTGTTTACAAAAGGGACATGTAGTCTTGTGTAAAAGTTTACAATTGATTAGTGACAGTCATGTCCCATTAATAAGTTTTGGTCACAGAAGAAACAAGACTAGAGGTTACTGAGAACATTACAGCGTAAGGAACCATAGCGCTGATGTACGTGTGGGGAAGAGGCTGTGGGGGCCAGGGGTTGGCGGCGTGGGCCCCCCATCACGCGGAACTGACTACGCAAGCCAGGTGGTAGTCGGTCATAACTCCGCTGATGAGAAGAAACAAGCAGAGGCAATACTGATTTATGTTTTTTGTGGCTGGATACAGATAACGATGGTTCTATTATTTCTAAAACTCTGTATAATAAATACAATAATACAGTACATGAAAACAGCAGGGTTAAAAATTAACAGTGGGTTAAATCAAAAGTCTGGTAGTACAGTTTATATTTTTAAACTTGTTAAAATCATCTTGAGGTGATGAAAGCCTATCAAGAAGTTATGTAGTTTAACTTTAAAAACTTTATAAGATATAACTTTGAGTGTTACTTCACTTTTAGGTAAAATATTTATTCTATATTCTTTACTATCCATGGACACATTTAAAAGATTAGAACATGACTATTGTAAGATTATTATCATACAAATTGTTAAAATTATATTGAAGTAAAGTACAGTACTTTCTGTTACATAAGCACACTACATATGAATTTTTTTTTTTTTTTTTTTTAGGGATTACACCTTGAGTTTGGGAAGAGGGGAAACAAGAACTTTTAAATCTCGTATATTTAAATACTAATTTCTGTTGATGAGGTCATAGTGTTGATAACTATAGTTTTAAAACATTGAGTCATGAAGAACACCACACTATAACTTTCAACAGCAAGGTGTGACAAAATGAACTAATTCCAAGATTATTAGTTTGAACATTGTTCATTGTGAACAAATGGTAGTATGGTAGTGAAGGAAACACGACTAAGACATGGAGGTTTATTCCTGACGTTGTGTCATAAGACTTTTTCAAAGGAATGAACACAATACGGAGTACTATATATAAAAAAAAAAAAAAAAGGGTCTCCAGTAGTGGGCTGAGCTATGTCACGTCCCTCCATTAGTCTGCCTGTTCATGGAGACTCGGGAGACAGACTACTACAATAACATTGTGGGTACGAGGCTGACATGCCTGAGGGTACGTTGATGATGTCAGCGTCAATCCTGGGAGGTTGGACTTGAAGGACACCAAGAGAAGATTCAATGAAATCCACTTTAAGATTCAGTTTGCCATGGAGGAAAAGATAAATAGCCAGCTCCCCTTCCTAGACACAATCACCGTAAGAACTAATGAGGGGCCTAATTTCAGGGTATACTGCAAACTCACCACTAAAGACAACTTTATCCACTACTTGTTGGTCCACAGAAAGAAAGCAAAGACAGGAACAGCCATAGGATTCTTCCTGCGGGATCACAGAATATGCGACACTGAATACCTGGAGGACGAGCTGGCATACATCTTCAAAGTCTACACAAAGCTGGGATACTCAAAAGGATTACTGATACAATTACAGAAAAATATCTGACACATCATCAGCAGAGGACATAAACACAAGAAGGATATAACCCAAAGCATAGATATATGGTACAGTAATACCTAACTCCACCTTATGTTACTCTCATTACAGACGACCTTCAGCATTTCACCATCAAGACAGCGATCACGTCAGAACGTGGACCAGAGATATGGTCGGCAATGGACAGAGACACCAGACTAACACCGGCAGCGTTGTGTATAGTATACCTTGCAGCTCCTGTGACAAATCATACGACAGAGAGACAGTCAGAGGTCTACAGATGAGACTACAAGAGCACTGAGTGGATGTTAAGACACCACAGAACAACCAATGCCTCCATCAGTCACATAGATACCACGGGACATCTGTCCAGATGGGAAGGTGCCCAGGTCTTACACTAGGGCATGAACAAAAAGACCAAGAAAGCTTTAGAAGCAGCACCCATTATGTTAAAACCTAACATTATCACCAAATAGATGACCTGGTCACGCACTGTGGCCCACAATTGGTGAAGAAAAGAGAGCAGCGACACCAACTGACCAAGGAAGGGAAATGACATAACTCAGCCCACTACTTTTGTAAAAATAGCGTTTCTGTACAGTACTCCATATCGTGTGTTCATTCCTTGTGACGAAACATCAGGAATAAAGCTCCATCTCTTAGTCATGTTTCCTTCACTACCATTATTAGTTTGTCTTACTGCTACACCTCTCTGTCAAAAGCTGTAGTGCGGTGTTCCTCGTGACTAAATTTTTTAAAACTATGCTTATCAGCACAAAACCCGTCAACAGAAAGAGGTGTTTTAAACTATGGCGGTAAACTCTACTGTTGGCCATGCGAGAAGTAGGACTGACTCATGAAGTACCGAAGGATATTAATCTTTAGGCCTAATATATAGTTAATATACTGTAATTTTGTGTGCACATACTGTTAATTTTGAGAAAAAAAAAAATATATACTGTATATATATGTGTGCAAGTAAATCACGGTAGGTGCGCGTGATCCAGGTATATGCTGATAACCACAAGGAAAAAAGAAAACACGAAGTTCCCAAGCGCTTTCGTGTAATTCACATCTTCTTTCCTTGTGGTTATCAGCATATACCTAGATCACACGCACCTACAGTGATTTACTTGCATATATATTTTACAATTCCAGAATGTAGTTTTGACAGTAATTGCTGGGATATTTTTTTTTTTTTTTATTAGGAAAACTTATTAAATGTCACAAAAGGCTAGATTCCATAATGAGTGTTGTACAGTCACAGTCAAGAGTCCTTTCATCTCTCCTGATAACTGTACTGTATACTGTTATAGCATTTCTTCTTCCTTGTGAGGCATTATCCCAGATTTAAAGTTTTCTACTTACATATCCAATGTAAGCTTTGTTGTGTGACAACAATTTCTTTCTGCCTAGTCTTCATTTTTTGCTGGATATTGTCACCCGAGACTAGCCTCTTATGAAGAAGATGCCTAAGAAACTTTGTAACTGTGGGAATTATTCCCAAATAACATATCCTGTGCATATGCAACTCAGGATTGTGGCTTGATTGAGGCAGCAAATCACAGTTAACAATATACAGTATAAGAAAGAAACACTTATTTAAACAAAAGGGGACCAAAAATAATGAACTGAAAATCATTGCCTATTTAATTTAGCTGTATGAATCAGTAACTGAACTTTGAAAAGTCCAAGTACACAATGTTCTGCAACAGAATAACCAAGACAAAGCCAGTTGAGACAGATTACTGTAGTGTAAAAGCAGCAGGAAACGGAGATGCACATAATACATGTTTATCCAAGTATAATATCTCGGCTAGCACTGATACTACAATGTTTAACCTAATGTTACTCTGCCTAAACCATTACTAATTAAACTAACCCTAGATTACTACTACTGCCTTACCTAGCCTAGTGCTGTTATTATTACACCACATCAAGTAACACTTCTATCAAACCTTCTGTTGTCATATCTGCCCGATAGATAAATATTTTAATCAACACAGTCCAAGTATGGCAACTTTCCAGAACTACCACTGTTAATGCTAAATCATTAAGTATTATTACTGCCATGTCAGCTACTACTAGTATTACTTCTTACACAACTCTCTCTTCACAATACATACAGTAGGGTCTCAGATTATACGAGGGTTATTTTTCTGGGATGCCTGTGTAAGTGTGAATTCGTGCATATTCGGGTTCCCCCAGTATATATACGTATAACCCTTTTTATACTAAAGTAACCGACACTCAACTTCAGAGTTTGAGACACCACTCCTCAAAAGTCCAAAACCTTGAATTTTTCTTCAAAATTTCTCACAGTATGCACGTTCTTCCTTTTCTCATTCATCACCATGAGAACTACCATGATTGCAGTAAAATTCACCAGTAAAGAAAATCTTTACAAACATGAATGCCTGAGAGATGTTTAACCCACAGTACCATACAAACATCTTAAATATACAAATGAACACAAATACGTACAGTAGTAAACTTATGGTACTTTATGAACATTTTAAATGTACAAACAAATACTCAAACTATCCTCCGGCCAGTTACCCAGTTGACTCAAGAGATGCGTGGCTGATGCGCTGTGTGTATGCCATGACATCACATAGGGGGAGGGAGTGTGGGGGCTGGCTGCCTAGGTGGCAAGTCAGTGATGCAGTTACAGCTTACTGCCACAATACATACTGTACGTTCAATTCCCACACATACACACCCATGCTTTTCATTTTTCTTGTTTTATAGTTTTATATTATAGGTATATTCTTTATTTTTAAACCACATTAGAGTATTGTAATGATTTTTTCCCCCTCATTTGAGCATGGACAAGTGAGAAGCACACTAAACTAGCAGGAGATGCTGGGTGAGTTGGCTCACCCGAGACCCAAGCGTAAGGGCGGTTCAGGTGGTCAGACGCATATAAGCGGGTTCACGTAATATGGATAAGCGTAATCTGCGACCCTACTGTATCCAAGCCCTGGTACTATTAAACCTCCACTAACTGCAATAATACCACATCTAGAATAACACTGTTGGTTACACACCCTGGAAATGGTGCTACCACATCTATTCTGCTACTAGTATTTACACACAACCTCTCATTGCTACCTAGTGTACTGATGCCATAATGAATGTTTAATTAACCTTAATTAACTTTCTAAGAACAAAGGTAAAACTTTTTCTCAAAATGTGAATATTAACTAATTTATGGTCTTGGGTATCACAAACTTCAGTAACTGCATTAACCCGATACAGTGATTTTAACTTTCATTTGTAAAAGTTTCTGTAGACTGTGTTGATCACTTAAAGGTAATTTCCAACCTCATAACGGATGCCGGCAATTTCAAATATTCTGTGTTTTCCACTGACAAGGTTTAAGACATCAGTGCTATTTTGACTTGGGGTCACAGCTTTGATAGTCTGGAACAACCTCTGAACACCTCCCAATAAGTGGCAGTTAAAGATTATCATATGAGGTTGTGTGGCAGAAATTTCATGCAAGGAAGAGAAGGATCTTACTTTGAGGTGACTCCTTAGCTGGAACAATGTCTGTCATTTATGAGAAATAAGTGACAGACATAACCTATGTCAAGTGGCAGAAATCCCTTTCATGTCATAATGCAAAGAGATGCCCTTAACTAGGTCACACACCTATGTAGGGTGGACCTGAATCTGTGTCAAGTACAGAAAAGTTATAATAAAAATAATGGTCAGCATTACTCTCACAATGTCATAATGTACAGTACTTGATCTGAGATATGGGAGCCATGGACTCTGTTCCTCCCTTATGTAAGAGTCTTACTTAGCAAAGTATCCTCAATGAAACAGAGTATTGGGTCACATGACAATAAGATGACACTAGTGTCTATATTTTATTTGATTAATTAAGTCAGTGCCATATTCTGTTGATCAAGACTGAGCACTTAACCCCTAGGGTAAAAGGATCATATGAAGTGCCTTTGTCTACCTTCATATTGCATAAGTGTAAAGATGAAGCAGACTTCAGCCAACCACAGACCTCTGCATGTTTTAACTCGACTTGTATAAGTATTTTGAAATCCAGAATGAAGACAATAATGTGATACACGAGTCACAAGTTGTAGCAACACCTGGGTCTGATGACCTCTTTAACACCAAAGGGGTTGTAGTCATGAGAAATGACCTGTGTTACAGGTCCCAGTAACACTTCTGCTACAAGTGTTATGCTTATTTTACTTTTTTTTTTTCAGATACATAAACTTAAATTTAGTCAACTACAGTACTAAGAAGAATGCACATATTTAGTGACCACTTTCATTTATGATATGATGTATGATTAGTATTTTCTTAATCAAGATTATTTCTTAAGATTCAAAGAAAACTGACAACCTATGGGAAGGGTTCGTACAGATTTCTTATCTTGTGGATTTTTACGCATTAATTACTAAATTAAGCACCAAAGATGTGTACAACATGCAAGCAAAGCATAGCTCCTTGGGACTAAACTATCAAAGCAAACTTTTGTTCTTGATGGCTACAGCAAAACTATGAAAAATGGCATTAGATAGATGCAAGTCATGCCTATATGCTGAAGCTGTTAATCATCATCTTCAAATATGTCAAAATTTAAAGAACATTATACAAATATAAAAATAAGTTCACCTGAAAGTGATTATGCATAGCTATGAAACATGAATTCTCCCCAGAACTGGGCCATCCATACAACAAGCCAATGGTTAGAGCATAACATAATGGATTTTGGCAAGAAATCTCATTTTATGGCCAGAGTGAAAAATTAAGTGACCATTGAGATCTACTGTACTCACTTCTGGCAAAGTCTGCTATGACCATGGGATAATCTGTATTTTTGAGTTATGAAAGTGTCCCAATGGATCAGTGCAACTCGTTTGGCTAAACGAGAGTTTACAAAGCAAACCTATTTCTTCAAGATTATATAAAAAAAGATAATGAGTGAATAAGTACACCGGAATGTACCATGAACCAATTCACCCGAGTCACTATCTTGGACATTAGACATCATTTTTCCCAATTTCTTACTGATATGCAGTACCTATCAAAGGAGGGAAGGTTTCTTAATAACTTGTCTTTCTTTCATCTATATTATGGAATGTAATTCCTCAATACCTCATTTTATGACTTATGGGTCATTTAACAAGTGACCTGTGAGATTCCAAACTTGTGATAAGCCAGCGGACTGCCAAGGCTTTGGTGTCAATTTTTAAAATTGTGCGCCAACTGATCTGCAGAGATTAGAATGCCTGCAGTTGCCTAGCTTTCCTATAGATGGGGGGCAAGGGGTGATTTAAGAGTTACAGCAAAGATAAAGCTTAAACCAATTATCTCTGCAAAGGTATTTACAACTACCTCAAGCATACTAAACTCTGTTCATTCCAACTTGCAACAGGCCCAGATAAATGGAAGCTTGTGATTGGTCAAATCACACCAGGTGAATATGAGGTATCCCTTGCTATATGAAAATTAATTTATCAAAATATTCTATTCTTACTATCCAAAAGCAATATTAATTTATTTGAAGAATGGTCTGATCGAAAATTCAAATTGCAAGCATCCAGAAGTCAGCTGGGGCAGCATTATCTCACCCACCTCCCTCCAGCATCCTCCCCATAGACCACACTTTCGCATGCCATTTGCTTGTGTATTCATGCCATCCTTTTGTGAATCTGTGTATGCAATGGTATCCAAGCGTTGTGATGATTATTAGCCTACCCCCACCATCCCCAAGAGACTGCATAAGCCTGTGATAATTGAAAAGGAGCTTGAAATAATGACACCATGAATGCAAAAAGGACCCGATCAAGATCGGGAGAGACCTGCCTCACAAAGTAGTGTATCAACTGTACAGAATTATTTTATTTAGTTTAGTAATTTGTTAGGCACTATAATATTGTGGGTTTCTTGTTCATGAACACACTTTTATCAGGTATATGTTGTCCATGAAAAGATTTAATTATTTTGGGTATAATAATGTTGTTGGGAACCTAACCCTATTTTTCCCACTGAATGTTATTTGTTATCTGAACATTTGACAAGTGAAAGGTTTCAAGAACCCTAACCCTTTCATATAGCGAGGGATACCAGTATTAGGGCACTGCTGATTCTTTTTAACCTGTTCTTTTTCACTTTATTATATCTACAGTACATTATCAATGTGTTTCACATGCTAATTTTTATTTACCCAGCTTTGGATATCATTCTAGATCAACACTTAATTGTTAATATTACTTGCTATTACAAAATATAAAGAAAATAAATTAATACTGAAGAGCTCTAGGTCAACCAAACACATCTCATTCTGCCACCCAATCTACTGCATCGATAAAATCTGCTTAAATCCCTGGTTACAAAGCTCAGGTGAACAGAGTCTAGTTACCATCATCACATTTCATTCACAAAACCTAGGGCTACCAACTACTCATAGCTCTAATAGGTAGAAGGATGTGGAACTTTTTGCTTAGAGCAAGACAATACTTTGCTTAGAGATATTCCAATACTTTTTGGGCTGACTTTCCATCTAATGGCAAAATTTACATGAAATTTCCATCACAAAATTACTCAAGTCACTTAAACTTAGTTATGCATTAATTCATATTGATGCTTTTCACTCTAGACTCACTTCCCCAACAATCACTTACCTCACAGCAAGAAAAAGTATCCACATGTGCCCATAACACTCAAAAGATACCAGATATCAGGTCTTCTTTAATATAGTGATAATATTAATGTCTTATTATTACACTGAAGGACAAATGTTCTTACAATAAATACTAGTGCTTCTGTTTAGGAAGATGCAAGAGTCGATACAAGCCTCATCTTGGTTATGAAATTTAGTTTAGTCTCCCAAAGAAAAAGGTTTCTGCTTACTTCAATGTCTTGAAAACTAAAGTATGCAATAAAAAGAATATGAAGAGGTTATATGAGGATATTACCTGAATTTCAGAATCTAAAACTCCTGTAGAAACTCGGGGATGCGTTCCAATATTATGGAGAGAGTCGGCCATAGACATCCGTACTCTACGGACATCAGCTGCTACTATTGAACTCCGGTTCCGATATTCTCTGACCTGTTCACGATACTGTGCGATCTGGAAGAGAAAACTATACTGTAGTTCTAAAGCACAAGAGATAATTAAAACATGAGTAAAGAAGAGGAAATACAAGGAAGATTGACCGTGCCTATGAGCAACAAAAATTGGAACCAGAAGAAATTAAGAATAAAAAGTGTGTACTGTATATGAAGAAAGGAAAAGCTGACATGAGGGTGTATGGAAAAACAGGAAGGATGAAATAAGTGAATGAAGGACTACTATACCTGTACCAAAAAATCTCTCAATGCAGAGATATTTCAACTACGTACATGAATAAATGTAGATAATGTGCATCTACTGGTATACTGTACTATTGTTTATCTGGTCTCCTAATACTGTATCTGAAAACCTCTGATAAATGTCTTTGGTTACTTTGGCTTACATTATGATGATGATGATGATGATGTTAACTGTGAGGTTGGTCTATTATCATTTATTACTAGTGGTGTGTTAGCCATGCAGTTGGTTCATTGTTACTGTTATGTATTCTATGGTAAACAGCTCAGTCAGTAGTTGATATAGGTATGTGAGTAGAGTACAGTATTTGTGAAGGAAATGAGTTTCAATTCAGGAATATGACAAATTTTGCTGTAGGGTGGAACTTACTGTGTAGAACTGTAGATGAATAGAGTATTATAGAGGTTAAAATGTGAAAATTATTATTTCATCAACATTTCTTGACAATGCAGGATGGGTACTTCACAAAATATCCTTTGAAATTCCTCATATTCAATTCAACTGTGGTTTTACCTGTTGCTCAAGTGAGTGAAGTCTTAGCTCACACCGTTCCTTCTCTTGTCGTAGGGCCTCTAACTGGTTAGTGAGCCGACGGATCTTCTCACTGTCTACTTGACGCTCCCGACGATGATCACTACTCATGTCCAGAGTCTGTAAAATTCAAATGCTCTTTGATGGAAAAAATAAATCATAACCCAAATTAATGATAATTTTCTCCAAACAATTTAAAGGATTGAAATGTGAAGGAGACAGATTCCTATGACCAGTGAAATGTTGTAATAAACTAAGAGATTTGTTAGGAAGTTGAAGATACTGTACAAGGAAATATGTATAGTATGCAAATGATATCAGCAACACTATCTCCACTCACCTCCTTTAAGTGTTTCTGTTGCATCTCTGTCTTCAGGGTCTCGAGGTCATCGATCTTACGCCTCAGTTCCATATTCTCAATGCGAAGAGCATTGACATTAGAGTCTAGCACGGGCTGTTCAGAGGCTGGTCGATGTCGGTCATGCTCAAACTAGTTACACAAGATATATGGTATATTATTACTTTTTAAGGAGAAATTGAAGGTCACACTATGATTACAATTTCTTCTAAAGGCAAGACAAAATATTGGCGTTTGTAGAGGTCAACAAAAATTCTATTTGACTATACAAGTTACTCTACAAAAAAAAGCTCAACAAAATAACTACTGTATCTAACTAAACTCAGAAAAGAGATGAAAAAATAAATAATAAAAAAGCCATTTTATCTAGTATTAAGCCATACAGTCCTACCTTGTTTAAAATCTTCTTAAGGTCTGTTCTGTCCTTCTCAAGTCTATATTCTGTCTTTTCTATGTCCTTTTTTTCAGCTTCACTTATGGCCAACTTCCTCTGTAGATGAAGAAGTGTGTGAGGCTGGAGGGTGGTGCCCGTGACACACTAGTTAGGACACAATCATGGCACACCCTTCACACTGATTGCTATTAGATTTATAAAGGTTAGTGTGTAATTCCCAGTGTTTGAAGGGTTTAATCAAGTACCAAGCACATCTGTATTATATCTGCAACAACCATGGAAACTTTAGTTCATGCATGAAAAACTATGAGAAGAATTGATTTTGAACACTAATGACCCCGAAAAACAAAGAAGACAAATCACTATGTTTCAAAGGAATATTTAAGGTACCTCATAATGTATCTACCATGTGTTCATATACTGTACCTTCCACAATAATGACAGTGAACAAAATGCAAGATGCTCAAAATGGAGGTTCAAAAAAGAATCTAACAAATACTGATCCTTCACAATGTATCATACATATCTCTTATGTTTTCCACAGTTGCGCAAAACTTCAAGATGATGCATGAAGAACTATAGGATGGACTGATTATGCAAGAACAAAGGTGCAATCCTGTTAAGTCTATGCCAGTTTTTGGTTATAGTATAATGAATCAATAAATGAGGAGCTTCTGGCATTACAAGTTGGGAGGGGATATGAAATACTGTATTCAAGTTCAAAGATGTAGAAAGACTGAGAAAACTAATGATGAGAATTCACTAAAAATTTTAAGAAATATACCCTGAGGTCTGGTTTTATCAAGTGAGGATGATATTAGATTGGCAAAGTTAGTAAAAAAAGGTATGAGAGACTATGGTGAGGACAAGCACCCAGCATTTCAAGAGGGTAAGGTTAGAGAGGAATGAAGCTGGCATAGGCTGTTTAGCTACACAGCCCAGCCACCAGGAGGCTCTACTGTCATGATCAGCTCCACCACAAGAAGTTAAAAGTGAAACAGGGAAGAGTTTTTATATTTCCAGATAAGTGGGCTAAATCAACAGAGAATTCACTGTCATGGAGGACAAATTTTTGGTCTGATTCGGTTTACAAAAATGATTATCAGGTAAATGGATAACTAATTCCTTGACTTGAAAACAACAAGTGAAGACATGGCACAGAATCTGGAAAGAAAGCATTACCCCATTACCATTCTAGATCTACTGAAGAAGCAGAGTCTGCACTTTACAAGATACAGATAACAGCATTTGATCACATTTACAGAACTAATTCATATATGGAAGACAATACACAGAGCATCTTACGTAATTTCTAATAAGCAATGTCAAAGTTCCTCAAGAGCAAAAAGATAAGACTTGTTTCTACATAGGTACCTCTGTGTTCGTCAACAAAACACAGATAAGAATTACTCTACCAGAGAGAAGCAAAAGTAAAAAGCATACAGTACTCTATCTTTGTATAAACAGGAGAAGTACAGACACAGTAATGTAGTTTAACTTATTCTACGTTAAGTAAATGAATGTTACTGGAACGACTTTTGAAACAAAATTATTCTCTATCAAAATGAATAAAAGTGAGACCTTGGAGCATGAATATATATTAAAACTCTGGTAATTTGAATTAAGCTTTGAAAACAGAGTTTTTTATTAAAAAAAATGTAGGGTGCTCCCCATCTCCACTATCCATCCCCTACAGTGGTTCTCCCTGCCCCAACACATCAACATTAAAGCCCTGTATTGTCTACTTACCTGTAGGTGGCTGCCTACTGCCACACTCCGTCCAGTCACCCAATACACATTCCCACCAACACTTGTTCTTACACCTTAGGTTACTCTTAACTAACCTGTCTCCTCCAATTGCCCAAAGTGAGACCACTGACCAGCATATGTAATTGTATCTAAACTTGTGTAATTTTAAGCACACAAGTCTTTTCCTGCAGGATGGCCAGCCAGGTAATAATTCCCTGATTATTTAATGACTTGTTTCACCTGTGGCAGGAGGGCAGTCCACCAAAGATTGTTTTATCACCCACCCATTAATCTCTACTGCCCCATACATCACACTAGTGACATCTGTCCCCAACACCAGGTTTTCTGACCTTTCTCTCACTTCTCCCTTCTGCCTCAATGACCCATCCCTCTCCCATTCGACTCAGTCCTTCCAACTCCTTGGTCTTCCCTTCCCCCTCTTACAACACACGTCTAAAACTTTGTCTTCTCATTCTTTCAATACGTCCATACCACCTTTGCTAAGATAGTATGACAAATATACTTCTAAATATTCAATACACTAGAACATACATAAACACTCATAATTTTGTAGAGATGTACCCAATGTAGTTTCAGTGACACTACGGTAAAAAGTGTTAGACACCATTGGAATAGAAAGGAGTAAATGCACACATTATGAACTTGCTCTGACAATGGTAAGTAAGATTCTATGAAAAATTCCTTGTATTAAAATTATTCCTTATATATGTACCTAGATTATCATGACCAATATATAACTGCATTATATTCTGTACATATACTGTATACCTAAAATGTAATTACATGCACTGGCTAATAACCCACCTCCAAGTCTGCAAGCTGAGAGCGAAGTTCAGACCTCTCTTGCTCCAAACGGGTCACCTTTGAGATAAGCTCATCTGTTGTTGATGATCGCTCACCAAGGCTCTGTAAAATCAAAAGATATGTTCAACATCGATTCTGATTTTGAAAACTTGTTTGTGGGCATCAGTGAGCACTTATAAGTATATTAACACCACCATCAGTCACATAGGTTGGGAATATCTAACAGTACAGTATAATTATGAGATTAGCAAATTCATTTACCCCTTTAAGAGACTTCATGCTCATCTCCAGCTCAGCATTCCTTAACTCAGCATTAGATAGATCTTGCTGAGCTTTATTCTTGGCATCGACAAGTTGGTCTTTTTGCCGTTTGAGATCTGATACTGAACTGTGTAAGTCAGCCACTCGCTCATCTAACTGTCGACGTTCTGCTTCACTTCGAGACAACAGATTCTGGGACTGTAAGGCAAAAAATAAGAGAAAAAAATGAAGGAATATCTATGAAAACATGGATGTTGACCAGTTTTTCTTTCCACACACTAAAATTCCTCAGGCAATCACCTCCAAAATAAATGAAGTGCTTGACATTCTCACATATACAAGAAATATCTTATATAAACTTTATGGGATTTTTTTTTTACCACCATTGGTTTATTTGATAAACAAAACCTCATTTCATGACAAAGTTAAATATAAGAAGCATCATACTCTGCTAAGCTCTTCTTGCATGTTGCTAGACGATGAAACTGTCTCCTTCAGCGATCGGTTTATTGAAGCAAGTTTGTCCTTCAGTTCAGATTCAGAATTGGAGATAGCAGCCATGCGTGTCTTGAGGTCTTCCACTTTGCCTTTGAGAGAAGAATTCTGGTCCTCGAGGCTTCGTATGGTGCGGCTGTAGTTCTCCCGGGTAGCAGTTAAGTTCTGTTAATGGCGAGATATATTTCTTTCAGTTTTATTTCAGTAATGGAGTAGTTAATTTTAAATGATTATTAATGCTCAGACTGTTCATAGAATTTTGGAAAAATCAAGAATGACAGGACCACAAGGAGAAGACAAACATTCACAGAACTTTATAATTACTGTATAGTCATTTATGTTGGTGCAGAAGGACCAGGAGGAAACCATTTGTTTTTATGGAACTTAAATGAGATGGTTAATAATGCCTGAAATATCTTAAAGTTATGGACCTGTTGCTTCATTCCTCAGGAGTAACTAATGAAGGTAATACAACAATAAAAGAGATGCTGCTTCCTTGATACAGTATATGATACAGAAATACACATCTCATACTTTACTTTCACTTGGTCACATCATGTATACAGTGTCATCTTCATATTAATGCTAGGAATGAGTTTCTGGCTTTCTGTGCATTCAGTATGCAGAAAGTTAAAATAATATGTACTTATACAGTATATTCCAGACACACAAATGCTTGCTACACATCTTTATGGTCACTCTTCATAAACCTTTCCATCTCTTACTTGAACACTCACTATCTGCCTCCTATCTTTGAGCATACACAACAGAATCTCTCTCTCTTCTCACTCAACTCTTCCTCCTATATTTTTACATTGTATTTATTCACTTCCATAACTCTTTCTACATTTTATATTCTAATTTCCTTTCCTAATCATCTAATGTCTTATCTTCCCAAATACACCCTAAAAACTTATTTCTCCTTTCTTAATAAATAATAATACTGTAATAATATTTAACCCTGAAATTTGGCATCTAAAAAAAGTCATTAACTGCCTCCCTGCAACACACAAACAAATAAACATCCATGTCTGTAAATAAATACCAACCTCAATTTCCATGTGTTTTTCACTTAGAGCCTTCTTGGCCCCACTAAGATCGGATTCGAGTCTTCCCTTCGAGTCATCAAGGAGAGTACCTCGCTGCTCAGATGAACGCAGCTTCTCTTTAATGTCGGCATTCTCCATTTCAATTCGACCAACAGCATTTTTAAGCTTCTGTACACGATCCTGTTGGACAGAGAAATTAATGTTTTTATTTTTTACCTTTCTACTAAAATCCACTTGCCTATGACAATGGCAGTTGACACAGTTATCAAATCACTAAGGTCATACTTCTGGACTTACCTACACTAACAGCTCTCTCACATATAATCAGTATTCTCTGTAGTTGCTTTATTCTCTACACACACACACACTTGTAACCAACTGCTAATAAATATATGGATCCCAAAATCTAGACAGTGCTGAAGTCCAGCAACACAGCACAATGGAGCCTTCAAAAAGCTCTCTGGGCCTTTCAAGGCTGTCCTTACAGTCTCCTAGGGGTTCCTTGTAATGCCCGAGGGCTGTGCAACCATCCCATTCACCTCTCCCCCACTCTGGTGTTCCCTAGTATGGGAACTATGAAGTGCATTAACATGAAAAACTGACAGTTTACCCAACAAAAAATCAGACTTTCATCTAAGAATAACTGCAAAATCTTTTAACTCCTGTAAGATGCTAACTGCAAGATGCTTAATGGAGAAAGGTAAATGCACTGACCCACTTCTTATTACAGTACTGGCAGACTTACAGTTAGAGAGCTCTTGTCATGTTCAAGATCAGCCATTTTGCGACGTGTGTTGCTCAGCTCTTCATTCAGGGTACGGATTTCACTCTCCTTACGACGTAGAGCGTCCTCCTATAATGCAACAAGAGCCACCATAAGACAATCTTATTTATTATTAACTAAAGGGCAACTTGGCATGGTAAGGTAGTGTCAGACCATAGGGTTAGTAGGGAAGGGGTAAGGTTATTTTTTTTGTGGATGGAATGAGGGAAGGAGGGAGGGAGGGAGATAAGTTATAATACAGGCATGACGAAAATAGGATGGTTATGATTCAAGAAGGAAGACCTCAAAAAATCTAGTGGCCTGACTGCCTTAGGGATAATGTCAATGTAATCCTTTTTTCAATGTTTGGTTGTGTATTGCAATGTGAGTTGGAAATGGAGTAACCCAGGAAGGGAAAATATTACAATAAAGCTGCACTAAACAGACTAACTTAAAAGGAAAATGTTTAAAGAAGAATAAAAAGAAAAAATTAAACAAGTTTTTTATCACATTATGTGAAATTAAAAGTTTTCCATCAAGAGAATGAGACAATAAGCTTTTTAATATAAGAAGAAGAACAGCACAACACAATGACCCGAAAGTTACCTGCTGGCTGGCATTTGACACTGCCTTGTTGAGTTTGTCGTCTGCATAGCGTTTCTTTTCTTCCAACTCTGAGAGAGTGCGTGTTACATCTCTTAGCCTGGCTTCTGATTTCTGATGCGTCTCCTGGAGCTCAGAAAGTTGTCGCTCAAGACTCATCACACGAGCCACAGCGTCATCCTGAAAATTAAGATTTTAAATGAGGTCAACACTACACACACTGTACTGGGTATTGAGATAATTAAACTACCGATATGAAGAACTAAAAACATAAAACAAAACTATAGTTAAAATTAAATGATATTTTGGCCATAGCTTCATCATTACTGTTTAGAAGAATGTGTATGGAGGAATTAGGAACTATGTGAGTGGTAACAGCAGCAACACATCTTACTCTCTCCAACTCCACTTGATTCATCTGGGTCATTAAAGCTCGTAATTCATGACGGACAGTTTCAGGATCAATTTCTGCTACGTTGACTTTCTCTGGTGATCCAAGAGCTTCAAATGATGCGTGTATGTCACTCTGGCTACCAGATAGTTCGAAACCTGTGGGTAAAGCCGAGTTACTTTATTGACTCTTAACAGGCATTAAGGACAAGCCAAAGATAAAGGAAACAAATATAATGCAAGTAGAAAAGTACACAACTATAAAGAGCTCCAGGCTGTTTATTATTCCAGTCTTTGATGGTTCACTAATGCCAAGTGCATAACCCTCTGCAAAGCATCAGTAAATACACACACATGTACCTTGATGGAATATTTTAAAAAATGAATAAGTTTTCCTGTGTACAACAGGAAATTACATAAAGCCTTATTATCACAACAAAGCTGTGCTTGCAATGTATGTAATACTTTACTTCAATAAGTGCATGATTAATCATATAGCAAATACTGGTTAGCATTTTAACTGGCATATTAATTTAATATACATTGATGAAATTTGGCATATGATACCTGGTGATGTTTTTAGTTACAAATGTTTAAACCGTAGACATAATGAGAGAGCATGTACTGTATGTGCCTCAACATGATACAAGGCTGTAAAAGGTAATAGCATTTATAAATTCATAATCTACCCTAAATTTCATGGTCTACTAAATAGTATTTACCAGAGACAATAAGAACAGTTGTAATTTTATTATCATTACAGCATCATGTAAAGCCTTTCTCTAATATGCAGGACGTTCCACATTCCATCCAATTCCTTCCCTTTAAGTCCCCCCTCACTCAACTTGTAGCTCTCTCTCTCCCCTGCACTTCTTAATCATATTTATCAAGTTTATAGTTATGCCTTAATTTTTTAGTATTCTCATAACCCTACTGTACTCTCTTACATGAAATACTGTACTCACAAAAGCTTCACTATATTCATTCCTAACATCACATGACCCTGACGGTGTGGTAGTTATTAGAGTCTTTTGGAATCCATCAATGTCTACATTCATATACATAATGCTTACACATTAATGTCTCAGTTCTCATATTTAATTAACGGTTGATTTTCATGTGATTTAGTCATAATCAAAAGTTAAGAGTAAATTTATCATTGAAAAATATCCATGCAGACATTTCAATCTATTAATCTTTAATATGTAAGTTATATATAAATGTGAGAGGTTCTAGGAAGTTCAATGTACAGTCATCATTTATCCTTATTATGGAATGAACATAAAAAATAAGTTTATTATAGATATTAAAAGTTTGAAATACTGTAACTACAAGCAAGAAGCAAACCATCTCCTAAGCTATCTAAGATCAAGCCTCAACTTGGCAGCATTAAAATACTGTACTGTACTCAGCAGCAGCTTACCGAGACAAGCATTAATACAATTTGACAATTTTTACTGTACTGTACCTTTAAAGCCACTGATACGGCAAGTTCTGACTAATTTCTTACTCAGTGGCAACAAAATTTCAAATATAGTTTATACTGTATTGCCTTAACTGGGACCCCCAGCTGGCACATCGCTGCCACTGACTAATGCATAAGCATAATATACCAACCAATCTTGGTGCCCTTCCTGCTCCGTAGTGCAGGCGATGAGGGTGTGACGTCTTGGTACATGCGAGTGACCGTGCGCAGGGAAGTGTATACATTTTGCAGCTTTCTCTCCAGTTGTTCTCGAGTGTTGTCCATTGTTCCCAGCTGCTGTTCCAGGGCTTCAACGTGACCCTCTTCTCGGGACAGTTTCACCTACAAGAATACATGGCTTTTAAAATATGCACATGGATAATTATTCAGTAAAATCATTATACAATTTTACAGTAAAATAGTTTCTTCCTGGATGGGTCCGATAAATTTCAAAATGATCAGCATGACTCGTGCTGTCTCGGTAGGGTTGTCAAAATCCTTCATCCATTGTGTCATTGTTTCACACACAAAGTGATGATACTTTTTTACCATGTGTACCTTTGTGTCTATGTACACATCAATATACTACTGAGGTTATTCAGTACTAATGATAGCTTTGGAAAATATCAATGAGCATAAATGAGAAAAACAGGAAATATCAATAATAAACTGTCTTGATTCAAGGTATCAAATTTGAAACATTCTACATCTTTACTAAGTATGATGATGAACTTACCTTAAGATTGCTGATTTGTTGATTAGCATTGTTGAGATAATTTTCAAAGTTCTTCTTTTCATCATTCAACTTGCGTTCATTTGACCGAGATTCTTCGAGGCTGAAAAGGATTACCGTGGAAATAAAACATTCATCAATTTATTTATTATCTATACACTTCTCCTACTTCTATGTAAGGCCAATCAAAGGGCAGAGGAACATCATAAAAGGAAATACTACGGGAGAAAAACTGAAAACACTAACTCTTTCTTATACACAAATACAGTAAATTATAGCTACCTAATACACAAGATGCAGATGAACAATAAAACCAAGTTGCCTATACAAATAACTACTGTAACTATTCTTGTTATTTTCTGTCATAAGGTGAACTGTGAGGGGTGGTTTATCTGTGTACCTGCTGGCCAGTTCTTGTTCCTTGGCTGCATGGTGGTCCTCAAGTTCTGTGAGTCGTCGCTCCAGAAGGGCCAACTCTGTCTGTAGGTTGTCTCGTTCTCTCTCATACTCTGCCACCTGAAGATTATTCCATTAAGTTTTGATTCTAAATACTCCAGGTAATATATTCATTCTGGAGAAGTTTGTGGTTTTAACCCTTAACTTGGGTCTAAGAATTCCCTACTCCGTCCAGCTCCAGCCTGAAATGTCTACTGATGATGGCTGCTGTTTAAGGGTTAATTGAGCAATGGAGGAATGTGCCACGATTATTTATTTACCCAGAAAATAATGATGTAACAATGGCTTAGCATGTTACTAACTACCATACATAGAAAAAAATATCTGGAATACCATCTATCACTCCAATGTCATTATGCAAAAAATTCTTGGAAGCTGTAAATGTTGTACAGGCTGGATCAAAGACACAGGGGAAAAGATAGGAAGGGAGTATGCAGTGAGTCATAAGTTACAGCTGAGGACTAGGACAAGGAGAAATAGCTACACACACACACATCTGCTCACAGCCTGACCTCTCACCTTGTTCTTTAATCTGTTCGTTTCCTTTCTGCTCTCATTGTGGCGATCTTCTTCTGATGACAAACGCAGACGAAGATTTTCTAACTCCTGTGACTTGCCGAGTCCTTCGGTCTCCAGCAGCTTCAATGAAAATCAAGATTAAAAGAAAATAATTGAGTTTTTGAAAAAGGGAATATATTTTCCCTCATGGACTAGAATTACTCAACAACCAAAGTAAAAAAAAACAACTGCTTTATGCCTATTTTTGTATTGTACTTTGTTTATGTTCCATCTATGCAGTTAAGCTTTCTGACTTTAGCCCTAAAGACTACACATTTTATGGATATACAGTAGTTTCTTTATCACACAAACAAAACAAAGACTTTAACAAACCTGAAGTTTCTTCTTCATGTCTGACATATCCCTGTGAGCGTCCTGCTTCACTGTGTTCAGTTCACGGAGTTGTTGTGTCATGCGGCCAATCAGGTCTGCATGCTTGGCTTCAGAGATTTCAAGGGCTGAAAATTTTAAAATTCACAATTATTATTTGAATATTAAACTGTGTATGGCTCTGAATGATTAATTTGTAAATAAACAACTTGTACTCGTCTAACAGTTTACACTAAATGAAGTCAGCAAAAGTGATATTTACCAAACTTAATCCTCAACATGTTCATAAATTCCCATCCCAGAAGTGACCAATTGAAAGCTAGAAATATTTAGGACAATTGGTATCAGTCAGGTGGAGTAAGAAAGTCACACTGGGCTGGAGACTTTGGCAGCTATGTCACAAGCTCCAAAGTAACACAACACATCCCACTGGTACAATGAAGGCGTGCAACAACAGCAAAACAAACACAAATGACGGTTTGCACAAGAACACCTCTAGCAAACAAAATGAAACCTATAAGATGCCCAAGCTATGCTATCACTTCTTCTCAGGTGAAACTTAGTTGTACTTCTTATTCAAAATCTGTTTTATATCTTTAAGTTAAATTTATAAAATAGATAGAAGTTCAATCCAAAGTAAAATATATAACTTACCACTTAATTTGTTTTCTTTGTCATCCAATCGTTTTTGTATATCTTTCTTCTCCTGATCTGACTTCTTGATAAGGATCTGCATTTCAGTTGATCTTCTCTCGTCTGATGACCTCATCTCTTCGTTCACTCGGCTGATTTCCTTCTTTAATACTGCTCGTTTCTCTTCAGCTGAATAAGATTATGATATATGTTAAACCATACAGTTATATCATACCAGAATACTGTATCTGTTATTCTACTTTATGTAAATAGTGATGTGCAAATACTTAACTACATTTCAATCTGTCTTTATAAAACAGTCTATAATTAAAATCATTAAGATATTCAAAGATGTCACATATTTTCCTCAAACTCTTTAACTACCATCTTTGAGCTTCTCCTCAGCATCCTCCAAGTCCTGTTGTAGTCGGCAGGCGTCCTCCCTCGCCAGTCTCAGGTCTGTCTTAATGGACGTGATCTCCACCTCGTTGTCTCTCCGTGCATCGTCTAGCCGGGTCTGCAGTTCTCGTATTCTGCGCTCATAGGAATCTTTTTCTTCCTTGAGCTGCTTTTCAAATGTTTGGCTGATGAAGAAAATTTAGTCAAGAGCTTTTTCAATTTGTATTTAAGGAATTCCAAGCAGAGTGGAATACAAATGCGTCAAATAAAAAGTTCATGTTTATACAGCCCATGCAAACTGTGCTTTAAATCATGACAAAAGAGGTGCAGGTTACACACAGCCAGTCAGCCTTCATAACAGTGGAAGCTTTTTCTGCTCTAGAAATTGCTTTTAATCATCACTGAAGTATTATGCCATTTAATATAAATTACTACAGTATATATATAAAGTAAAAAATATATAAATACCCAAATCTTGCTTAAATGTGGATAAATTAGTTATAGGATTTTTAGAAAGCAAGTTAAATTCTTTGGAGTTATAAGTGAGAGATGCACTGAAATAAATACCAAGAAAAATAGATATTGTTTACAGTAGATGTTCCCTCTAATGGTTTCTTTTATGAAGTACAAGATACAGTTATAGTTGGAAGAATACTGGTAAGAGATTTGACAGTACCTCACCACTCCATCCAATTATAACAAGGAGGGGGAGGGAGGCTGTTGTGAGGAGCGATCTACAAGCCCTCTAAACCATAAATCATTCAGGAGTCTCATACATATAATCTAAAATCTTCCTTTGTATGGAGAAATATCATAAACCTTACAGCATCTTTCTATTCAATGCTGATATACCGTACAGACATCCTCAACCATATTATCTATTATAACATACTGGTACTGTCCTGACTTTATTTATCTTCCTATTATCAACACCACATCCCCTACACATGCTCCAGACTGTTCCATCATTAAGTATTTCTTTCACCATCTATTTTTTATCCCTTTACTCTCTCTCTCTCTATCTTTTCTCCCTCATACTTACAAACTTCTTTTAATACAATTTTATTTATGTGGGCTGAAGTCATTATCTTCACTACACCTAAACATTATAAATTTTTAGCAGCATTCCATTAGATTGATCCACTACTGTACACAACATCCAACTCAAAATCATTACTACATTCCAATTTCTTGAGCATTAAGTAAATAACAGAAAAGTGCTTACCATTCATAAGGCTGTTCTCTTGGCATGTAAATATATACAGTTAACTTCATCACAAGCAGTGGGTTAATTATCTTACCTGTTAGCATGCAATTCCTCTTTGAGCTGAACGATCTTGTTGTGCAGTGCGCCCTCGCTGGCCCGGCCTGCCTCAGCCTTGTTGGAGCCTTCACGCCGCAGCTGATCTAACTGGTTCTCGTAGGTCGACAGATCTCGCTGTAGACCGGCAACTTTCTCTTCTAAACTTGCTATTTCTTGCTGGGCTGTTTAAGAACAAATGAGAATTATAGAAACACACAAATGGGTGAGTAAATAACAGGAAAGTTACAGAGACTAAAGTACATGGGTCTAAAATACATCAGCTGAGAGAACGACAGATTGGTTGGTGTTCAAAATTTGATAACAAGGCAATGGTACCAGCTTCACTTAACTGATAACAACCTTAACATTTAACCAGATTACAAATGTCAATTATATAATTATTTAAACTAACCCAGCATCAACTAGCCCACACAGCTCACCCAGCATCATTGATCGGTGTTTCTCTTCCTCAAAGCGCAGGGCCGAGTCGTCTCTCTCACGCTGCAGCTTCTCCGAGTAACGTTTAAGAGTGGAAATTTCTTGATCTTTCTTGAGTTCGAGCTCGTCCTTCTCCATCTTGAGAGAATGGATGGTTGAATTCAACTTGTCTTCCAGCTCTGACTGTACATTATTCTGAAAATATAATATACTTAAGTAATCAAATGGCAGTGTAGGTAATCTCAAGAAATATATTTATATGGTTTTCTGAAATACCCAAATATTTTAGGTTACCGCTTTTACAATTTCACCCCAACTAATTCAATAATTGAAAAGGTCAATATGAAACTGAAGTAAGAAAGACAAACTTGTTGGATAATAGATATCAGTTGCCTCTGTTCTCGACATAGTGTACAACACATAATGAAGACTGACTACCTGAACCCTCTCTTTGTGGTCACTGATGAAAGAATGACACATTTCTCTCACATGTCATTGTATGTTTCACCGGGCTACAAAATAAAGTATACAGATAGGCCTGGTTTAGTGCTGGGGTCAGGTTCCTTGAAGAAAGAGCACTACTTGAATCAGCGCTAAAAGGGGGAGCTCTAAATGGGTCCACCTATAACAGCAACAGTTCTTACTCTTTCCTTGCGTAAGTCGTCTATAATCTCCTCGTGCTGATCCCGTAATATCATCATTGATTTTTTATGCTCTGTTTCCTTCTCGTCCAGGCGGCGCTCTAGAGCGGTGCGAGCCTCTCTTAGCTTCGTCAGCTCACCCTCAAGTTCACGCTGGAGTTTGTTCATCTAAAACATTCAATAATGTATCAGTTATCTATTAGAAAATAACAGACAAGTATAAGTTACTCTTCAGCACCTTTAATTGTATATTAATTAATTATTCCTCTGTATATATATATATATATATATATATATATATATATATATATATATATATATATATATATATATATATATATATATATATATATATATATATATATATATATATAGTATGTATATATATATATATATAGAGAGAGAGAGAGAGAGGAATAATTAATTCATATTCAATTAAAGGTACCGAAGTGTTAAAGTGATACATAATTATTATAATATTAAAAAGAGTAAGTATGTATTCATAACATTTCAGGGAGAAACTGACAGTGATAAGCACACACACACACACATGATGAGAAGACATATGACTAACCTGTGTATGAAGTCTTTCTTTGTCAGTATTCAGCTGCTGGTTCTCCTTCTCCAGTTGTGTGCGCCGAGCTTCATTATTTGACCACTTCTTCTCAAGAGATGTTGCAAAGCTCTCCAGACTCTGTTTCTCTGCTTTCATTGTTGCCAATGATTCACGGAGAGCACTCAACTCCTTGTCTGCTCCTGTCAGACGTACCTGAGGAGCAGCATATTTTATTTATTTTCCTAAATTTTATGGAAACCTAGAATGTCTCTCTTATACAACACACATCATTTTGGTTAATTTTTTAGTTAAAATTTTATGTCTAGCATTAACCCATAACAGAGAAGGGCCAGTATTTTAGTTTTCCAAACACTTTGAAAGCTAAATGTATATACTGTATTATCTCACAACAGAAAAGTAAGTTTTATAGCAGAACAGTACATGGTAGAGTCTTACCTCCATCTCTGCATTTTCTTTAGAAAGTCCTTCTTTATCTGTGTTTAGTTGGTCAATAAGTTTGAGCTTGTCCGTAAGTGTGTTGGTGAGGGTCGTGAGTTCACCCTCTAAAGACGTCTTGATGCGCTCCAGTGCTGTCAGCTGACCGTGCAGTTCATTACGCTCTGAGATGATATCATTCAGCTCTAGTTCAATCTGTTAGGAAAGATTTTTGTAAAGTAAAGAAGACTCATCCATAAATATCTTCTGGCACTTTGTACTAATGTGTCCTTGACTTATGGGCAAGTTTTTCCATATTTAAAGACAGTGAAGAACATAAATCAGCTCCAGACTCAAGTGTGACAGAAGTGGAGGAATATTAGCACTAGTTATTATTACAATGTTATTGTCCTTCACTGTGGCGGTGTTATGTCAGATTAAGGTCTAACTGAGCTCTCCCATAACAAACACAAGTCAAATAATTTATATGTACTAATTACCACACTCAGAATAAGGTGGTTTAAACAGAAACTTCCACAAATTTTCTTTTAATTCTGGTAAGAATCTATAAATGGTATATTTTCCACCTTTGAAATGTCCTGAGACAAAGATGTAATAATGAATGGAGAATTAAATCCTAAACTCTAATTTTTAAGACAGAGATCAAAGTGGGAGACTCATATAACACCTTGATTAAGAAGGTAATACCTGAACAAAAGTTTCTACTGGTAGCTATAACAGGAACTGTTGTCAATAAAAACAGTCACCCATGATGACCCTCACACTGTAACCAGACATTCACAGTGAAGGTGTTTTAGAGCTAGGAGTCACTCATATCAAGGTGTGAAGTGGGTTCTAAACATTATTGATTGAGAATGGTCCGAATTAGGCACCTAAGAAGTTCATGGCCACAGAAATTGGTTGACGTAGAAGTAAAAAAGAAAAAAAAATCAACTTAAAAACATAAATACCTTTTCCTTATCAAGAGTTAAAAGGTTGATTTTTTCATTAAGAGTCGTTATGGTCGTTTCATGGCCCATGCGCTCCTCCCCCAGGGCCTCCAGATCATCCTTGAGCCTCTCAACCTCCGCTCGTAGTTCCGCTCTCTCCGTCCCCAAGGCTGCACGTTCTGTCTCCAGAGATGTGATCTTGGAGACCAATTGTGACTTATCTTGCCCTAAGTTGATACTGTATGACTCAACCTGGAAGTATAAGGATTCAAATCCTATGAGAATATAATATTTTAGATAGTTTAGTTCTTTGTGGAGGAGGTCGAGGAATACACAAATGATAACCTCAAAATTAAAATACTGTACCTTATAAACTAATAGAGTTCAGTACAGCTAAAATAATTACACAAAGCCTAACAATTGTCATATTGAACTGTGAAACAAATAGTTATCTTGATCATCTTGTACAACTAGTTAGAATTAGTAATAATGCTGAGAAAATATCCCTTATAATCACAGGACTTGCTGCATAATATAATAAACTACAGCAGTCTGGGAGATAGCCATATGTACACACAGTCCAAAGAGTATCTATAAGAAGGGGTCCGATGAACTTCAAAATGAACACCGCGAACCCCGTTGTCTTGGTACTGATGTCAAAATCTTTTGTCTGTTGTATCATATTGTTTAATACTAAATTGGAAAAATACTCTTTGGATCACGTGTACAAATTCATCACTTATTATCTTCTCACAATAAACAAAGTATTTCCTAAAACTCTGCCTAGACTAAGATGAAGGCTGGATGGCATTATGGCTTTGCTGTGATCACAATTTCACTGGACACTGAATAGCCAATCCACAATGCTGCATACATGCTTTGAAATGTCTTACAACTGATACTGTCTGTCTACAGTGTTCATGCTATGGTGACTGTATCCCAGAATGTTACTCAGTATTGTAAGGTTTCTCTTTCACAATAACTTCAATTAACTTAAGAGGAACTACAGTAAATACATTAATAAATTCTTTTATCCATTCCTTTTTTCTGTATTTTGTGGGGAATCATTTGACTCAGAGATGATGTATACTGGCTTAGCAATACACGCGTTTAATAATCTGGGTATGTTTATGTTGGAATGAAGCTGACTGGGAGTACAGGGATGTGGTTAAATTTTATGTCCAAACTATATTAGAAATAATCCCAGCACAGTACCACCTTCCCTCTCTCAGCACACATTGCTCTCAGCTGCCTTCATGCTACTGTTACTTTCTGTGCAAGAGATATATATGTACCTTATTTATTCACATTATTAGATATAAGTATTAGTAGTAAGACAGGATTTCAGATTAATTTAAGCATCACATTTTAGCGGACATTCATTTTGGACAATAAAGTAGTGAATTCATTCTTTAAATAAAATATGTACCAATATAAGCATTGTTTATGAATGTATGCACCCTGTATGCACTGTCTAAGCACTAATGTATGCATGCTTCCATTTTGTGTGTGAGTAAATATGTAAGAGTTTCTGCAAATGTGTGTTAAGTGTTTGTGTATGTGTCTCGAGCTTCTACCAGTGACAAACAAGTTAAATACAAAACTATCACTGACCTTAATTTTATAAACTATCCCTTGTTTCAGCGATCTTTCCCACACAATGCATAACTTTCCTTAAAACCAATTAAAAAAAAGGTAGCCCTAAAGTGTTCCATGTAAATATTCCATCTTGGTTGCTGAGATTTTAGGTTGAGTTTTCAGAGTGGAAAATAAAACACTAGACAACTTATATCCTCAAATAAAAATATCAGCCAAAATCGTGTGGGTGCAGTATTGTGCTGCTCTGTGGCGGGTCAGACACACAACATGCAATGTGGGGATCAACACAGTAATCATCCCTCTGTAAAGAAATTTACATAAAACATACTTCTTAATGTTTAATTATTATATAATTTTTTATTTAACCACATAAAACAGGCTGGAGACTATTTATGCATGGTCATGATTAATTATTAACAATATTAATGCGTATAAAGCTTTCATCTGCAAGTACATTCCTGTAACCATGCATAACACTAACTAGTCTTGTCAACTAAACACAGACCATCATCATTCTAGTGTAAATAACATATGGGTGTGTATGAAGGAGTTTAGTATCAAAGGTGTGAATACTTATCTCTTCGTAAATCTATGAATGAGAAGGAAATATTAAGGAATTGGAATAAATTTTCACATTATCACATAATTTCCATGTTGTATGCATGGTTGTCCAGAATTTATGTCTTACAAGAAAGCTGTATGTCTGAGGTGAATTATGTTACCTTATCCAGGGCCTCCCTCAGGTCAGTCTCCTGACGTAGGGAGTGTGTCAGTTTAGCTTCCAGCTCCATGCGCTGCCGCTCCATTACTCGGATTTGGTCCCGCAGGTCATCCTTCTCCTGATCCAGCCTCTCCTCTGCTGCCCGCACCTTCCCCAGGGATTCAGACAAAACAGATACCTGAAAGTGGATTAAGAGTAAGACCAAAAATATAGCAACACCACTTTTATTATAATTTATCTACAGTGACCAAGAAGCTGTACTGTATATGTACAATACAGTACTGTATTACTATCTAAACAATCTTAAATTGTGATGTACAGTACTTATATTCTAAAACCTAATGAAGTAGAAATATACATAACCTTTTCGGAGAATAAATTTCTTAACAATTCTGCATTGTGGAAAATGTCACCAGTGATAAGCTGATGTGAATCAAGACAACACTAAAGCACAATTAAATGATTAAACAGTTAAATAAAATATCAACACTTATAAAAATTGCACAGAATTAAAAAAAATCAAGAGATTCTGATTCTCAGACAGGAAACTGAGAAAATATCAAAACAGTGGCAATGAAATGGAATCAAATTTTCACAGTACCCTTCAACACCCTTCATCTCTACTGATGTACTGTACTTGATTGTTTATGGTATTTTTGTCAATATGACCTATACCTTAGAATGATTAATCTTTTTAAATTTTCAACAAATACAACTACCGGTACATGTTGCTGTTCCTGAATATCATGTCCTGCACTATCCTTCACACTGCCTCACGGCCCTCCATAATTGCTCCCTCACACACACACACCTTCTCCAACAGAAATTCCTCTACTTGTGGGATAATAATCTGTTCTCAATTCGAAAAAAGGAAAAGGAAAAGAAGACCCATACAGCAAATTTCAAAATAAAATACAGGAAGCACATTTCCGTTAACTGCGTGAACGTATGACCATCACACTCACAAATTAGTTTACTTGTATCGTCAACAATAAAGCTAATGAAGTGTACAAGGAATTAAATCAATACCAACAAGTTAACAGCAAAGATACTGATGATAATTATTAGGTATATGGAACAAAAGATAAAGAAATGGGAACAAATATATCAACACAGCACAGTACTGGCTTTGTCTCTATGCTGGGGGAGCAGATGGGTAAAATGGAAGGGATAAATTTGTATTCTCGATACCAAGGCAATACTCCACTTAATATAAAGGACATCTATTTGCTGTATCACAATATTCATGTTCTGCTCACAATAATGAAGGTACAAAATTTGATTCCATTAAGATTTATTTCCTTGTTGCAGTGAAGAACATTAAAAAAAACTCTGCAACAGACAAAATATGGAACCGGATCAAACACCGAGTCGTGGTGAAGCAAAATAAATTACATCTTGAACAATCCTTAAAGTTAACAAGCAGGGAATATATGCACACAAGCACTAATAATTTTACCATAGATTAATTCTGACTAGAAAAAGAGTAACAAATATGGAAACCTTTAAATGAACATTCTGCTGACATACGCAAACACGACGAAATGCTTAACATGCAAGACACTGTGTGCAAATTACATCTGGTACACTACTGATTATCACATACTCGGAAATCTTTCAGGAAATAATTATTAAACCAATGTAAAGCATCAATTTCAAATGTTCTTTTCACTAACATATTATAGGTACTGTACCAGTTATTAATTCAGACATCAGTGTGTGTGAATATCCATTTAATGTTTGCTAACTGACTCTTATTAAATCTGCAGAAACACACTAATTCAAGCAATTTTGTCCGAGACCTAGTTCTGTATGCAAGAAGGACACTCGGTTCAGTTTATGAATACACTTGATAATACTGTACTTATTGGAATATATTATGCATTAAAATTTCTCATTCCTGTGTTTTTAATGGACTCAATATGGCTACAGTGTCAACAAGGCAGTGGCAGGCTAGGAATACAATCACAGTACAGTTAGCTAAATGAAATATTAAAAGTGGCATCCCAGTAGTGAAGGAGTTAAGTAATGACGTATATTTTGTTCTAATACATATCAGCCTTGATTGACTTTGCATTTACATGTCCTGAGTGCACCTTTTAATCCCAGTGTTCCTCCTGCATACATCTCTTAGTTCCCCAGGTCTATAATTCTTGCCAGAAATTTCAAATGTTATCTGATCAATCACTTCCATTCTTACTGACTGTCTAGGCAAAAGAAAAACTGTGATTATAGAAATGCTTTACCTTATGGCTTTCCTTTGTCCAAGTTTAGAAGGAATAGTTGAAGATGTGTGATGAAGTGACATTAACCAAGAGAATTAAGGTGACGTAAAGCAAATATTGCGTGAATGGTAGAGTCAACCGGACAGCTGTGAGCTCTAAATACTGTACAGGATTTAGATACCGAAAGATCTTATTTAGGCAAAATGTGCAGGGGAAGTCTACTGAAAGAGGGTTAAAACTATGGATATCAGAGAACAATGGTTATATCATTAGATTTTTACTGTTCTGGGATTCTTTGTAACACTTTTAATGTTTATGCTCAGTAGTTCCACATTGGAGGAGATCCCAGTGTAAGGGGTAGAGTTCTATCCATGTAACACCAGCTATTCCTGCATTCAATTTTGGCAACTGAATAACTTCACATTTCAAGTTGCACATTTTGTATATTACTTGATCTATATGTGAAGGATTTGTCATTTGCTTTCACTAAGACATAAGAACATATGAAGAGAACGAGGTTGTCTCATTAATCACACTCAATGGGGTAAGTATTATGTAAACAAGGAAATAGGAAGAAAGGTGGAAGGCAACGAGAGGAATAAATCACGGGAGGATAAGGGACGTGGAGATTACCGAGGAACAGTGCAAGACTACAGTGTGGAAGAAACAAAGAGAAAGTATCCCATAGTAGAGTGCTTCCATGGGCTACCGAGGCCAACCAATCAACTACAGTACTGTACCTAGAACAAGTTGAAGATATATAGTATAAACTGTTAATGTAAGCTCACTGTGTACAGGTTATAAAGCTTAATTACAGAATGGACTTTATTCCTTCTAAATTATCCAGCAATCATTATTGGTAATCAAATGACTGTATGGCAAATAAGACGGAGTGTTGCAGGTGAACAAAAGAGATTTACGTGCACCAAGAGTCTATCAGGGAGTGGCTCTGCAGCACGTCATTCTTATTTAATCATACTAATCATTGTGAGTATGATAGATGACATTTCTCACATTTAACTGGCAAATAATCATATCTCTCTATTGTAAACCACTAGTTCCTAAATTCTTATTAAATAAAACTTACTACAGGGTATTAACCATATACCCAGAATCATCATCTACTTTACATATACTGTATGTTTAAAGCAATATTTATAACATTACATATTAGTAAAGTAAATCCAACTACTGTAGTGGGGTTATTGAGTTGAACTCTTAAGACATTCCTGTAATCATAACTTAGCTGCATGTTAACTACTGATTCTGAAGTACTGACATGCAATATTAAGCTACCAGCATATATCAATCATATAGTATTTGGTTATTTTTGTTCAAGCTTATCTCTACTAAAGGAAAAACAAAGGGAACAAACACAGTACCTGCTGCTGGACGCTAGACAGTTCAGAGTTGAGGGCAGTTATGGTGTGGACGTGCTTCTGTACTTCCTCCTTCTCTCTGGTCAGCTTGGAGTTCAGGTAGGCTCGTTCTTCACCCAGCATGGCTTTCTCCTTCTCCAGCTCCGTCACCTGGCGGCTACGGCGCTCTGTCTCCTCTTGGGCGGTCTCCAGCTGAGGAGTGACGTACAATTACTTTATGCATGTAATGAAATAGTCCTCCTTTTACTCCTGCACTCTCATTCCCATTACAGGTGCTGGGTAGTCAGAACCAACCGCAGTAAAGATGTTGGTATAGTACAGTGTCGGTATATGGAACAATTTACATTAATTTCTATTCTCATTAAACAAGATAACTTTCACTAACCTGAGCTTTTAGGTTCTGCTTGGTCTTCTCCAGGGTACTCTTCTCTGCAACAATTACATTCAAGTCTTCAGAGAGTCTATCTTTCTCCCTGGAGACTTCATCCTTCTGCCGGGTAATTGCCTCCATCTCATCACGAAGTTCTCCAATCGTAGACTCGAGTGAGCGCTGGGCTGCCTCTGCACTTTCATACTGCTTACGGAGTGATGTCAAATGGTCCTTTGATGATGTTAACTTGAGCTGAACACCACATGAAACATAAAGATCTGTCAAGACACTGATGTACTAAGGTAAGCAGTCATATACAAAACTGGTACATGAAAACAAGAGTCTACGAGGGGGATTTTTCCGTGACCGCCTCAATTATCCCTTAATATTTTCCATTCTTAAGGTCTTCTCTTGCCATAATACAGGAGGGTCATAACAGAAAGACTCTCCCACTACGGTGTCCCCCTCCACAACAATGCTACACTTGGTTTATCCGAGAATCTTAATGATCACCCCAGCATCTTCATTAAGGATGCAGGAAAAACAATTAAGTCATAAGTGACAGAAGGCAATTGTAAGGCAAGATGTTTCCTTCAGGACAGTCTTATAATCTTCCCTGAAAATGTGAGTCCTGCCACATGGTTGAAAATAGTAAAATATATTACAATTCTTATACGAGGGACAGACATAATATATTTCTACTACTAATGTACAAACGAAAATATCTACAGTGATACTAACTTGCAATTCATGGATCTGAACATGCCGGTTGGAGAGAGCCGTACGAACAGCAGACACGGTGCTCTGTGGTAGGTCTGGGGCTACTCCCTGCTCTGTGTCTCGTACAATCCTGTTGAGTAATGGGAGAAATATAAAGTTCAAACCTTTATCATAATACAGTAGACAATTCCCCTTAATTATAACCTTATTTAATGACTATAAACACCACATATGAGCGAGTGAAATGTATTCTGTGATAAGGTAAACTGTCCTGTCATTTTAGATTACTAGTATTACATGATTGAACACACATCAAAATCCCTACTTTTTCTATACTGTACAGCAATATATTAGTGAATTTTAATATCAGTAATGTTTAAATGTTATCCTGAACATCGATTTAATTTCTGTCATATTCTTAAAGGAAAGACAATAATATCTACTTATATTCACCTTGTGGAAAGAGATGCATTAAGGTACTGTATAGAGTTTATTATTAAAATAATACAATTATAAACCACACCAGAAGAGATATGTACAACAGAGAAATGAAACAATGAAGAAAAAAAATTGAAAAAACAACACTTGGAGTAAAATAAGTTAGAAAAACAATAGAAGACTCTACTCCACACTAGGGGCGGTGTTTAGGTACGATATGTGGAGTATCAATGGTTATTCCTGTCCATATATGTAATGTGTCTTAAGTTAGTGCATGAGGGATTGCAAAGTACAGTACATAATAAATTTGACACTTAAGGTACTGTAGGGGTTGAAAATACAGTAGATTACATATGGACACAATGTACATGCATATCTTATGTACTGTACTGTAAATCAAAAGAGTACCGTACTGTACATACATTAAAAAAAAAAGAAGTTAAAAATTCCCAGTGACTGATATAAATTAAAATGGGAATAAGTCAAAGTATTAAAAGTAAAAGTACATTATTAAACAGACTCCAAAAGGATTATAATACAGTATGGGGGTTGGATTATTTCCTGTAAAATAGCAACCGGAAGTACAGCTGAAAATAACTGAAGAGATTTGTTTTTTTTTTTCTCAATAATCTGCAGATGAAAGCTACACAAGATAGGAAGACACAGTAAATATTAACACATATATGGGTAACATTAAGTTTTTTCTCCCTGCATTCTCTACTACTGCGGCCATGCATGCCTACGTCAGCTCAGCCAGAGGGTAAAGAAGGTGGTGGTGAGCATGGTGAGAGGAAAGAGGTTGTTAGTTGTGGGAGGTGTTATGAAGGGGAAATATCTGGGGTTGTGGTTTTTGAAGATTTGCCAGTTTCCTGTGTACTAGATCATCTGTTACCCAAGGCCTACAAATAGAATAGGTCAAGTTTTGCTTCCACAAACACACACACACACACTCACACATACATAGTTATGTGAAATATTATAACAAAACCATACAGGTACATTATCTATTTATTCTTTATATTCTCCTATACTGTATTGTTATCTGTTCCCCAAACATTTGATACCACCTACACTATTATTTTCACCAAAACATCAGAGAAAAGCACTGTGACAACAAGCAGCACCTGGCATAAGTTAACTCCAATCATTGGATAATTTAATAAATATTAATTTGAAAAGCTGTGTGAAAATAATAATACTACAATATATTTCACTAATAAAAAAAAATATTTTCAAGAAACTGAGGCTCTTACTTCTCACAACTGTCAAGAAGTTGTTAGGGCATAAACAAACTCATTTAACTCACTTTTTGGGAACTTTCAACTTTTAAATACCTGTAGTACACTGTTTTTAAAGTTTCATAATTTTTATCTAAACGATCCAATGATATTTTCTTTATTTTGTCACTTAGGTAAAAAAATAAATCTTTCAGCTGAGTGTGTGTGTGTGTGTGTGTTTTTTTGGAAGCAAAACTTGAAGTCAGGAAAGAAACTTTGACCCAACTCAGTAAAGAAAATGTCTGGTTATCTGAGATCCAGTCTCGTGGGTCTGTGCCTGTACAGTATTACCCAAGCTGCTGGGTAACGGGAAATTACATACTGGACAAGATATCAATATGTAGATTAACTCCAGAATTTCCATTATTGTCAAAGTTTATTTAAGAACAACAACCAATTACTGGGAGTCCCCAACATACGAACGCCTGTACTTACGAACTTGATCCCGATAAAGTCTTAATAAAAATTGGCTTTTTTTTTACATTATTTTGTATAGTTTACTATCATTTTATGTACAGTAAATACAAGTATGTATTTACTTTGATATTTATGATACTACTATTGTTCTGTATGGGCAGGGTTGTGTTTTAACATAACCTAATCTATGGAATTAACACTGTTCTGACTTAAGAACAGATTGACTTACAAACAGGGTCCATGAACATAACCCTGGACCTCCCTGTATTGCTCTTTCTATTCATTACCACCTCTCACACCACACTGCACCACACCACACCACACCACACCACACCACACCACACCGCACCACACCACACCACACTATAAGACAGCCAAGACAAATATTCTAAAACTTATCCTTAACTACGTGCTCCCATGCCAAACTAATCATGCTGATATCACCCAAGACTCCTACTAATATACAACACAGGTGGTGGTCGGTGTTGTATCTTAAACTACAGTACTGTACTCAAATTCAGATACAGTATATATTATTTCCATTTAAGTTCGTTTTTTTCTGTTTTAGGGTCTTTCACCTCCAAGGTCATTGAGCACCAGTCACTAATTTCTAAAGCAAACAATTTTAATAAGGTGAAAAACACTTATGTCATCTAATCATCTATACATTAAAAAAAATTTTTAACACTTAAATTTCCTAATAAGTACAGTATGGTATTCAAGTACTGATAAGGTAAAGAAAGATAATGAAGGCAAATGTACAATAAAGAAAACGTAATGTAACAACGGCTCAAGTCACGGATTATTATGGTAGGGAAGTGTTACTAACCTTTGCCATTCCTCCTGACTTTCCAATGCAAAAAACAGCAAAGTCAAGTCAGGTAACAAGGAATGCCAATTAATGTTGAAATTCCCATTACTAACTACTGTTATAGAAAAGCAAATTTATGCAAGATAGATACTGTACTAAACATGCAATTATGCTACCAATATTACACACTGTTTTACTCTGTCTTAACCTCACAAACCTACAATAAATCTCCAACATTAATTTATCATCATATAAAACCTCTACTTAACTTAAAACAAAATTCTATGCATTATAAAGCTTAAAGAGGACACAATATTTGGGGGAGAATTTCTGACGAACATTTTGGTGATTTATTTTATAAGGGAATTTTCAAAGTCCACAAGGAGTCAGATAAATGGAATTTGAAAGGACATTAATTGGCAGAATAGACATAACAAAATATATCTACCAGTACAGGAGGTGATGAAAAAGGAGAGGAGGAAGAAGCAGAAAAAATAATAAGTTTTGTCATTGATAAATTACGTTTGGAAGTCTTTTCATGGTGTTCCTACAAGGCTGTATGTTCAGCCTTCAAACTTTTACTATAAAATGGTAAGAATTTATTAAAAGAAAAAGCAGCAATCACAGTACAAGTATTACATTTACAAGAATCAATGGATCAGTAAACGTTGAGAAGATCAAACAGGTGAGTCTGCTTAATGACCTCCACAATACACATGATAAACACTAATAGTACAATTATATATATCTATGATACATTTATTTATTTGATTTATTCATAAGCCAAGGTAGGATATTACTGATAATGTGTAGAATAACAACACACTCCTTACTTATCAACAAGAGAAGCAATACTGTACTGCTAAAATATATCAAAAACTAAAATCAACTTTTAGGAAACTCTAGGCATTTACCTGAAGGCAGAAGGAGTCTTGCCGTCAGTGTCGCTGGCACTCTGCTCCGAGTCCTTGATGACTGTCTGAGCGATTTCGACCATGTATGATTCTAAAGTGCGCACCTTCTCCTTCAGTGTCTCCTGAATCTCCGCTTCCGTCATGCCTTCATCCTGCACAGACAGTCACAAATAACTGTATACACGCACACTGTATATATGACATACTATTTACCATTTTTTATAGACAGGATCTGAGTGGAACCTTGGAAAGAGTCTCAAAGAACCCAGATTTGGTTTTATTTTGGGAGTTCAACCCCCTCTAGCTTGAACTGGGGACCATTGAGCCTCATACACCTATTCCTAGACCCTGGCCAAATAAGCAGAATTTTATATAAGGTCACAAAAAGGCTGCCATATTGTGTAATGGATAATAATCACTCCTGTACTGTACACAAAAATAGAAGAGCTATACAAGGCCTTAGTGTTAAGGTGGGATGGTAAATGCTAGACTTGTTTTGAGAGAGATCCATCCAAGAAACATTCCCACAAAGATTAGGTAAATAGGACGCTCTCGGCCATTTATTCATGAGAAGTTGATGTGAAAAAATTACAAATGGTGATGAATGATAGACCAAAGTTATAGTCCATCCAAGTGAATTAAAAAATCATAATTTTTATTTATTTATCTTATGATTAACCTGTCAATACCATGCATTCAACACCTCCTCCCACCCACGGTACAGTACTAACCAGCTTCTGGTTGAGGTCCGTTATGGTACGTTCCTTGTCTCGTAAGTTGTTGTTGAGCTCGGAGATCCTGGAATTAAGTTCATTGATCTTTTCCTTGAGGGAGTTCTTCTCCGTCTCTGCTCGGAGTTGAGACTTTTCACACTCCTGGATGCGCCCCCACAGGTCAGATGGGTTGGCGACCACATAATCATCCTGTGGTAGTTAAAGTAGTATTTACAGTGTATAAATTGAGCCAGGTCTAACACATACATACTGTACACATATTCAAGTACTGTACGCACACACATTTACAGAGATGAAAATACCTAATGATTGTGTAAGGGTAACTGACCAACTTCTTAAAAAACGTGCACATATTTAGGAAAATTAGTTAAGTATCTTGTCAAATGAATAAAATAAAATACATTTAATGAAATAGACAAAAAATTCTGTAATAAGCTCGGTATATGAAATAGACAAAAAATTCTGTAATAATCTCGGTATTTACATTACAAAAGAAATCATGGACAAGAAATTTACAAAATCCCAAAACAAAATGACTTAAAACACATATCCTACAAACAGTAAATTAATACTGTGAATTCAGAATTACAAGATTAGCCCAAATTAAATTCCTGATAAAAACGAACAAAAAGAAAATGAGAGAAAAACTGTGATTGTATAAAAAAAATTTAATTGGGAAGTTAGTTAAAATCATTTACATGTATTTAGTATAATTATGCTTTAATCAGCAATATTTTTCAGGGTTAACAAGTCAAATGCATTGTAATCTATTTTAACTCCTTGAATTACAGCTTGATCCTAATTGGCCCAGATTTAATGAACCCTACAGACTTAATGGTATTTTAATGGACCTTGAACCTAATGGGTAAAAATCTTAACAGACCCTTTTTTTAATGATCAAATTAGGGTGGGGCCCAAGAGGCACGGGGCCCATTATGACTAAGAGGAGCATCTGCCCCCTGACACTCCCTCAGGACCTGTGTGTTGCCTCACTACATAATCTGTTTCATCAACCCAGACTTATGTCACCCACTTCAGGAACCCCCGGGGCTGTACTGTACGATACCTTATCTCCTCCTGATGGTAGGAAACTCATGTTGGATTGAGCTGATTGGCAGGCAGATGACAAGAGATGTGCACAGCGAGTAAAGTCGCTGCGCAGGTCGGTCAGGTCACGGGAGGTCAGGTGTTTCACCTCGGAGAAGGTGCGCTTTACAGATCCAATCTCACGCCACAAGTCCAATAAATTTTTGTGCCCTGATATGTAGTAGTTGTTGAATTGCTGCAACAAACATAAGCACCATTAATAGTCTTCACTCTCACGGGTTTAGAACAAAGATACAAGTATGTACGTAATTATATAATATGTTTGGTAAATAAGTGGGTGTGTGAGTGAGTAAATGTGTGTGTGTGTGTGTGTGTGTGTGTGTGTGTGTGTGTGTGTGTGTTTTACCTCTTGATGAACCTAATACAACAATTATAAACATGAACAACAAATCCCCCTAAAACCTTTCCACCCAATGCTCGGATATACTAAACATTACCAATCATACCCACTGTAATACTCCCCACAACTATCCTTATGTAACCCTAAACCCAAAACACACATACATATTCCTTATACTCTATCTGTCTGACTATCTTCTCACATCAATCCGTCCTGAACAATTTCAATCCACCTTTACAAAACATAAATTGGGTTGAACATCACAGTGTATTTTTTTTTTAATATTCATGTTAGATATTTTTGTACTTTCGCTAAATTAACTCATATCAAAGTTATATTTTTTGTTATTATACTTGTTCTTGAATGTTATAGAATGATTTTTATACTGCAGCTTTGGTTAATGATGCAGAATAATATCCTCAACAGTGTCCTTGAAAATAAAATCTTGACAATATCTAAACCATATCATAACATACGACCTGGGACATGCCATACTGTACTGTCCTCTACTAACACAAAAACGGTAAAACTAAAATAAATTCAACGGCTGTAACTAAGACCAACGCATTACAGAAAATAAAAAATCTGAACCAATAATCTCTTCATATGTACTACTACTGCTAATAACAACTACTGCTACTTCTGCTACTGCTACTACTACTATCACCACCATTACTACTGCGACCACCACCAACAACATATCCTCAAAATTTACCCACGACCATCTCAAAAAACACCACAAAACAACGAAGTATACCATAAAAAACGTTTTCTATTACGCATCTTCACCCCAGACTTACCTAAACCAAACGTCACACCCCAAACTGGTCTCCTGACACCTAAGACCTGTACCAAACACTTATCTACCCTCACACACACAGACCAAAAGTAACATTAATTCACTAACTAAACAAAAAATCATTAAATAAAAACAATGAAGGATTATATTGGATTTCATTAAGCTAGATTAGTGAAGAAAACAATATTGACATAATTGAGTCGAATAATGAAAACTACCCAATGGAAATACTCGTCAAAAAAAAAAAATTAATAACAAAATAAAATAAAATTAAGTTGTGAAATCTCAAGTGAGTTGTATGGTTTTAGTCAAATTTTTGTCAGGTGTGGGTGGTTGGTTGGACAGCAGCAGCAGCACTAATGTAGCAATATCATGGAAGTAACGGTGTAGGAGTGGCGGATGTAAAGGAAAATTAACTCTATAAAACTGAAATAAACATACGAAGAGTATTTGTAATATGTAACACTGAAGTCCCCCGGTAACATACAGACGAGTAACATACTTTTAAAACCATAATAACAACACTTGTAACACGATTGTAACACTTATGCCACTGTAACACTAAGATCATGGTTGTAACACTCGACACCAACACTGATTAAGTTCACTGTCATAACTCTTGTAACACGGGTTTAAGATATTGTTGTAACACTTATAAACAGAGTATCATGGGTTTAATTCAGTTATAACACTTGTAACACTAATTCATATTATTGCTGTAACACAAATAGTAACACTGTTTTCTTCACTGTTGTAACACTCAATATAACAGGTTCAGTTAATGGTAGTAACAGCACATGTGTCAGGAGTGTATCGCCAATCACGTACACAAGTCATCCACCACGTACACAAGTCACCCACCACGTACACAAGTCACCCACCACGTACACAAGTCACCCACCACGTACACAAGTCACCCACCATGTACACAAATCACCCACCACGTACACAAGTCATCCACCACGTACACATCACCCACCACGTACACAAGTCACCCACCACGTACACAAGTCACCTACCACGTACACAAGTCACCCACCACGTACACAAATCACCCACCACGTACACAAGTCACCCACCACGTACACAAGTCACCTACCACGTACACAAGTCACCCACCACGTACAGTACAATAATCTACGGTCAACGCTCCCCAAATTTTACTAAACGACCCACAATCCCACCCCCCCCCTCGAGCTGACGTCATCAACCATAAGTCACCATATATAAAAAAATAATCACAAACAAATGAATGGAATAAATCAACGGCGTTCAGTGATTAAATAATTATATAAACAAAGCCACGAGATCAAGGTCTAGTAAATAGTGATTATTTTGGGCGCCGTTTTTCCTTCATTTTACTAATTGTACAAAATATTCAGCATAACTAAAGAAAACTGTACCACGTCATATAAAAATAATAATAATACTGTACGAATAATAATAATAATAATAATAATAATAATAATAATAATAATAAAAGAATCATACAATAATAAATATTTACTTAAATACACAAATATTTTTCGGTCGTTTTCCCCTGAAATTCGTGTCCAAGCAGCCATGATACGTAAAATAATAACAACATTTTGTCCATTAATATAAAACAAACATTCTATTTCATGACCCTCATTTATCTCCTCATTACGTTCACTTAAATCAGGTTTTATTTACAAATGTTTTAAATTATGATATAAACCATCTGTTACACCACAGCACAATGCCCCATCTTGAGTCATGCCCTCAGACTAAACTCCAAGAGACATAAGGAGCTTACACACATCAGACCACCGTGTTATAACCCCCGACGGAGGACCACACACGTAGGAGGCCACACGGTCACTGTCACAACACACAGAGGGACGTTTAGAAACAGTTGGCAAGGACGAGGTGTCATCCGAGGGTGCAGGAGGACGTGCCACAGATGCAGGAACTGTGACTTGTGGGAGAATTTGACACCATAGAGGATGTGACACTCAGGGGAACGTGGCACTCAGGGGAACGTGGCACTAGAGATACGTGACACTCAGGGGAACGTGGCACTAGAGATACGTGACACTCAGGGGAACGTGGCACTAGAGATACGTGACACTCAGGGAATGACACTCAGGGGAACGTGGCACCAGAGATACGTGACACTCAGGGGAACGTGTGGCTAGAGACATGTGACACTCAGGGAACGTGGCTAGAGATACGTGACACTGTACGGACATGATACGTGACATTCAGGGAACGTGGCACTAGAGATACGTGGCACTCAGGGGAACGTGGCACTAGAGATACGTGACACTCAGGGGAACGTGGCACTAGAGATACGTGACACTCAGGGGAACGTGGCACTAGAGATACGTGACACTCAGGGGAACGTGACACTCAGGGGAACGTGGCACTAGAGATACGTGACACCACCAGACCGTACCCGAACACACAGGTCAGTGAGAGCTTGCGGGGAGCTGAGGAGAGACTGAGGGTGGTGGCGGTGGACAGTGGCTTATATATCTCTGGTGGCGGAGGTTGAGGAAGAAGAGGATGGGGTGGAGGAGGAGGTGTGCTTGCGTGCCTCGCCCAAGGTCTCCACACTATCACTGGGGTGCGTGTGTGGAGCTGTGTTTATGGGGGTCGGCTCACAAGACTCGGGTAAACAGTCACGACCCTTGACGGCGCTTGGCCCAGTTTTATGGGTTAACAGGACACTATAAAGGGTATATAAGAATTCTATCTATACCCCAGGGGCACCTATACAACCCCTCACTATACACGTACATACACAAATACACTTACTATACACACACACACACACATATACATCCAATATCATCGTACTCTCACTAAACGTACACAAACAACAATAACAACAATAACAACTCACTCTCTCTCTCTCTCTCTCTCTCTCTCTCTCTCTCTCCTTCACGATACCCCGGAAAATAAACAAATACTCCAGAGCCATAGTAGTTTTTTCCCCCCTGACCAAATCCCTTCCTGGTTATCATAATCGGTCGTTCTGTCCCTTTGCCAGCATCCCTACCTGTATATAGCGTGACGTCATTACAGGGCCTGACACGCCACACCTACAGTACAAATACATTTTACTAATATATATTCAACAGCGGAAGTAAATAATAATCTAAATGTGCTTATTAACTTCAAACGCCACATTAAGGTTGGGCAAACAAAATAAATTAGGCGAAGTTGATATGTGAATTGGCCCATGGTCGGGATACATAAATGGTTCGTAAGATGTGTGTGTCCATGGGTAAGTATGGGTTATTCCATGGGTCCAGTGTGGGCTATATACCATGGGTCTAGTGTGGGCTATAAATCATGGGTCTAGTGTGGGCTATAAATCATGGGTCCAGTGAAGGATGGGTAGGGATGGGGTTAGGAGTAAGGACGGGGCAGCCTCATCGTGGTTCTGGATACCGTAAACCCCATTGTATATCATTATAATATATGATGCGCATTATATCTATAGCAGCGAGTCACGACGGACCACCCACCTCACAGGACCCCCCCCCCCATCTGGGCCTTCGTCAGGTTGTTTATGGCTCTCGAGACACACCCAGTACCTTCCCTCGCCAAGATCATCATCCCTGTACCCTCCCTCACTAAGAACAACGCCTTTGTACTCTCCCCCACCCAGAACAACACCCAGTACACCCATTAAGATAGACACCACAAACGGTTATACTCCAACACCACAACTCCAAGTGAAAAACAAAAGATAATCGCTGGTAAGACGTCGGTTACACTCCAACACCACAACTCCAAGTAAAACAATCACAAATACGAGAGCCTTCCCAGAAGAGTCTACTATACGGCGATCATTTCATTTCCACTGTGTGTGCCGGGCGGGATACAACTGTGTCTGGGACCGTCCTGCACCTGATGTAACACCCTGCGTGTCGGTGCTTCACCCCACACCACCAACCATCTTCTTCACGCCATCTCTCCGTCTTTGTCTTCCTGTGAAATAATAATTCTCGTTTCCAATTTACCTAACCCATTGAGGGCGACTCTGCACTGTTATCACTTTACC